GGGTAGTTACTGATGGCAGAAGTGCACTAGTGCTCAAACCGACATTTTGTCGCTAATACCCAGAGCCACGGTCTACGAAATGATCCGCTCTGACGTACTTTGCTCTATCGTGGGCCCCTGGAAGTAGGAGTTCATTTTACTCAGGTAAGCTACCTGATCGTTTTTTTTTGTTCTGAGATTTAATCAGCACCTGGATACCGGGATGACGCAGGACATACTCACGCCGTTCACATTTCAAGCCGTCCAGACCATTGGTCTGAGAGGTCAGTGAAACTGAGCGCTTGCCCCGCATACATGTTTGCCGCGATAAGAGCGCACTCACAGCACTTACTCCTTTTCGTTCAATAAATTTTTTATTACAGTGCACACAGCAATAAGCACAGCGGTGTGCATCAACAATTGCTGCCTCCCTCCGATATCTGTACGGACATTCTTTCAATCACAGAAGTTGTCTACACCCCGCAACAAGGGTGGAGCAGAAAAAGTTGCCCGATTGGTATTTAGTAAGTCAAGCAGCTGCTCTGATTTTCCAGACATATTAAAGCAATGCTAAGAGAAATGCTATTACCAACGTTGACACTCCCCCCCCCCCCGTTTTTCTTCAATGTTAAAATTATATTAAGTTTAGCAATTCATATATCTGTACTGATGATGTGCGTAAAGGTATTCATTAAAGACCTGGTAAGAGCGGCTGAAATTCTAAAAAAAAGTATGTCTTATTGAATCGTTTCGTCGTTGAAGAATAGTTTACGTACAGTGCCTGTGTGATGCTGCAGGAAACATTTCCCGTATATATTACGCTTTGTACGCCTAGAGATGTTTATCCGCTTTTGGAGACAGTGTGAAAGGTTATTACTCATTGAGTGCTAGAATGACCAGCTTTGTTTTCAACCTATCAAGTAGAGCCAGCGTACGTGCCGTAATTTTATGGTGGTAATCACGTTATAAGTTTTCGTGGTCACCGCTATACTTCAACCAGAAAGATTGGGTTTATATAAGTTGAGAATTATTAATTCATCTTCGAGTAATCGACAATAAGCTCGAAACACAATACTTTGCGTTCTCGTCGCACACTGATGCAACCCAATGCGGGTCACCTAATTATTTTATAGCGAAAGCTGTTATGAGATCACAACTCGGGTCACGCGCAGTTGTCTGCCGCTGCCGCCACCACCACCGCCACCGCCACCAGTGTGTGTAACCACGTCGCGCGAAATTAGAAAAAAAGTCTAGCACCAATGACACAGTGGGGCTCAAACCCGGGTCCGCTGTGTGCGAGCCCAGTACTCTACGACTGACCTACGCCAGTACTTCTGACTTGTTGGCAAATTTTCCTTAGGCAGGCTTGATGTCAGGAAAGCAATCACGTCAATACGACCTATAAAGCGCTTTGAAACGGCGAAAGAGCAACCAGTCGTCGCACAATGCGAATAGCATAACGAGTGGGCCGTCCGATGCTCCAACCCATTACAAAAGCTTGTTCTTGTTCTCCTAATAACTATGGCACATACCCACTTGAACCATAATTTCTCATCGCCGTCAGCTACTGCATGAACAATTGGCAGAAAATTCTTTGCAAGTGTTTAGTGGATACCACGCTTCTCAGAATGACAAAAAATAGCATAGCGATTGCCGGCCTACTACCCAAATATGTTAAATAATAATGACCTAGTGGGTATCAAGCAAGTTTGCTAGCATTACTTACACAATGAGTGTTTTGAAAAGGCTCTGAAAGGCTGCTCTTCTAGCTTTCGCTGTGACTGTGCTGCACCTTCCGCGCAGACCTGGCGTTTTTAACGAGTCGCTTTCACTTGACGACTATCTTGACCAAGCACACGCTATTCGCGCGCAGTGTGACTACCATCTGTCTGTATTTCATCTAACCGAGACCACGGTGACCACCACAAATACCAGCTTTAAATCCCCCCCCCCCTCGCACACGTGGTGTCACTGAAGGGTATAACACACACAAACTCCACACAAAGCCTCAACGTTTCAGTATAGCCTTCCAATGAAATGCATGTGAACTCCAAACGCCTCTTATTCCCTAAACGCACCGAGGCGTTGCTGCACCGACGGCCTGTAAATTCACATTCCTGCACCTATTTCTGCCAGAGATCAGTGACCGTCAATAGACGGCAAATAAAAGAAAATAACCTGCATTTTCACAATACTTTACCCTGTACTCAACAGCCACAGCAATTAAAGGCCATTGTAGGCGTGAAATGATTTTAGTACCTGCTGTCAGCAGCCTTCAAGTGAACAGGTCCACCATTGAATCACTCACACAGGGAAACGTATTTAAAACAGGTAAAAATTGTACCGATGACCATGACCGTACGAGGTCACAACTGTTGCACATTGGGCTTCCGACAGCAAACTCTCGGGGCCTAAGACGCCAAAGGCTACTCGATGGCATGAGCCATCTTCCTTTTCTTTCAAGTTGATGTATTCATTGACCACCCGTCTTGCTTCGCATGCTTGAGGGCCAATGCACCATATTAAATTGGAATGAGCCACATTTCTTGCATGTGAGATCTAACATTAGCATTCCATCAAAGCTTCACCGAGGTGTCACTATAGTTTGGGTGTATTGTAGCTGGTTGCCGCGTTTTTTAAATTAAATGTATTTAGGAAGAGGTTGGTGCCAACGCGTGGTGCCGACTACTCCTTTTTTTTTTTTGCCCAACAATCGACATGCCTTATTAGTTAACAAGCACAAAGCTGTTGTGTTTACTCATACGTATGCCTTCCGGATGTCCAACAACGCCAGCGGAGAGCACTGCGGCGACAAAGAAACAATTCGACATGTTCTGTGTGACTGCCCGGAATACACTACACAGAGGCAATCTTTTTGTCGGGCTTTCGACAAGTTAGGTGGCCAGTCTCTATCGGAAGAAAGACTATTATGCAACCATCCAGAAGTAACATCGCAGAAAACTCCATGGAAGCGCTCGTAGGCTCCCTGTGAGCTACTGGCGTATTAAAAAAAAACTTTGAGTGGGACGCTGTCATGTGTGTGTATGTGTGTGGCTGCGATTTTTTTCGCATTTCTTCTTTATGTATATCTTGCAACTTTCTACTTTTCAACTTTATTTCAGACAAAGACTAATAATGTGTACGTTTGTCCTGTCTATGCAACTTTCTACTTTTCAACTTTATTTCAGACAAAGACTAATAATGTGTACGTTTGTCCTGTCTAGGAGGTGTGACAAAAAGGCACGAGTGTCTGACTGAGTGCCACATCCCTTTCTAGACACACAATCTCAAACAGTTAGGTGGCCAGTCTCTATCGGAAGAGAGACTATTATGCAACCATCCAGAAGTAACATCGCAGAAAACTCCATGGAAGCGCTCGTAGGCTCCCTGTGAGCTACTGGTGTATTAAAAAAAAACTTTGAGTGGGACGCTGTCATGTATGTGTATGTGTGTGGCTGCGATTTTTTTTCGCATTTCTTCTTTATGTATATCTTGCAACTTTCTACTTTTCAACTTTATTTCAGACAAAGACTAATAATGTGTACGTTTGTCCTGTCTATGCAACTTTCTACTTTTCAACTTTATTTCAGACAAAGACTAATAATGTGTACGTTTGTCCTGTCTAGGAGGTGTGAGAAAAAGGCACGAGTGTCTGACTGAGGGCCACATCCCTTTCTAGACACACAATCTCAAACAGTTAGGTGGCCAGTCTCTATTGGAAGAGAGACTATTATGCAACCATCCAGAAGTAACATCGCAGAAAACTCCATGGAAGCGCTCGTAGGCTCCCTGTGAGCTACTGGCGTATTAAAAAAAAAACTTTGAGTGGGACGCTGTCATGTGTGTGTATGTGTGTGGCTGCGATTTTTTTCGCATTTCTTCTTTATGTATATCTTGCAACTTTCTACTTTTCAACTTTATTTCAGACAAAGACTAATAATGTAGACGTTTGTTCTGTCTAGGAGGTGTGACAAAAAGGCACGAGTGTCTGACTGAGTGCCACATCCCTTTCTAGACACACATAACTCAAACATCAGTGACAGTGAGATAATCAAAAATACATACAAAGGATTACATATACTATAAATCGTTAGCCAAATATATACAGGATTCTACAGATATATACATTGTTCTATATACACTTAAAGCAGACAGATTTTCTAAGTATACGTACAGTATAGACTGCAGGAAGGTAAAAAACAGAATTATTCTTGTATTGAAATCGAACCTTAACTTTTTTTTGAAGCATTTAATGTGCATCATTTCCGGTACCAAGTTCATTACGGTAGAATAATGATTTAAGAAATCTGCTATAGCGTACGATTGTTTTTCCATGTCATAGTTTGTTCGTATGAAACCTTTATCATATAATTTTTTTTCAGTTTCGTATCTCTTTCTTTCTATGTTCTTTTTCGCAACCTCAGTGCAGGTATACTATACCTTCTGGTTAACCTCTATGCATGGATTTGTCTTCTCTTGATTGTCTCCCTTACTCTCATCAAACGCGGTTTTGCACTGTGTGCAGGATCAGAGGCATGGCAGGCTTTCTGCGCCCCACCTGGTATTGTAGTGAATACGTGATTCACCCGTGTTCGACCAAATGACGATTCCATGTGGTGACGGGACATATTCTCGATCTATGACGTCATTATGGCGTCATCACGCGAACATTATTTTTGTGTGCATTTTTATGAACACGCCAACAAAAATTCCCGCGTTTCATAGACCATCTGAGGCTTTCGCCTTAATAAACGAAGAGCTTTGGGAGGCTGAGCTGTCAAGACCAGACCCCAATAATTAGGTAGGTCGGTAGAAAGGACTCGCTAGATAGCCATGGTCCACGTCTACCTGAAATTGAGAGTGCCCAAAGCCTGGTGTGTAATGGGACATATCCCTGTCTTCTCTCAGAATAAAAGTTCATTCTCTCTTTCTCTCTCTCGTGACCACTTTTCAGATACTCGGTATGTCGGCTCAGCTTGTATAATAATGCATACGTGTGTATTAAAACATGAACGCACAGCAATGTTGCCATACTAGCCGTCTTTAATCAAAATCCTTCAGAACTTCGATAGTTTCGGCCCTGATGTCCTTCCAAAGGTTCATGACGGAAGAGTGTTGTTCAACTTCCAGAATACGATTCTCCATCTTGCGGAGCAGTTCGGAGGTGAAGTAATTCTTCCAAGTTCCGACTTTTCCAACTCTCACGTAACAGTACTTGCTCTCGTCGCCTTCGTGGCCTTCCCTGCAGGTAACGTTCTTATTTGAAAGCACCGCGTCCCATTGAGGGTTGCTTCTGCCAGTCATATCAATAACCAGTACGCTGCGCAGGTATTCGGGCTGTGATCTCTCCAGTAGTTTTTGGAATAACGTTTCGTTCTGCTCCAGAGCACAGCCGTACTGCTCTCCCAAGAAATACGCCAGCCTCAACGCCACCTCACGGGTGTGATTTTTGAGTTCTTCGTACGTAATGAAGAACACATTTGGTTCTTCCTTCAGAGCGTAACTCGCTGCTACGTGTTCAAAGTAGTCTCCGTAGCCGAAATTGCCGCTCACAAAAGTGTCGACAAAATCTTCGAATGTTCCGTCTTGAAATTCATAAATGCTCATGTTGGTTACCATATGATAGAAAGAGACGCAGACGTCCCACGGATTTCGTGCGATGTAGACATACTTGCCTTCTGGAGTCATGGTACGCTTGTCCAACGGCAAGTGTGTAGCGAATGTCCTCAGAGGTAGAGGTGAAGTGAAGTCAGTGGCGTCCATGTATTCGACTGAACACCATCCTTTGACGAACTCCTCATACGTTGTGATGGGCTGTCCATTCCTGAGAATGAGCTGCGTTATGTACATCAGCCAATTCGTCCCACTTTTTGGAAAAGTTGACTGTACGACATCTCCTGCCTTCGCTTTGAACTTGAGTCCTTCTCTCAGCAAACCCGGGTTCAGAAAAATACACCTCGGAACTCCATCAATTATTTGGTAGGCTGGCCTTTTCCTTTCCATGGCGCTAGGCGTTTCTGAAAGCAGTAAAATAAAGTTTCATGAATGTCAGCTCAATAGACCTTCATCAAAAATTTATTTTCTGCTTTTCCATATCACTGTTTTTGTTTTATTGTAGACAGCCACTTGTGTTAGACGTCAATTCATTGTAGATTGCACTGCTATAATCTTGAACAGATTGATAATTGATGTGAAAACGACGCTTCCTCGAATACGTGGACATCGGTCACTTCATCAGACATAGAGTGAGGAGACACGATGAAGCGCCAACACGGCGCAGTGTCTGTGTTCATCTCGTCTGTTTTAGAAACGAAGCTCTTGTTAAGGTTGAGGCTTGTTCATTGACATTGTTGTGCGCCGTAGTCGAGCACATGCAAGGTACCCACTATACATCTTCAAGATGACGATGATGGTGATCATCACAGAACAGTTGTGCGATGATGTGCCACGGACCTTGAAGATACTCGAGAGCCTGCTGACCTTGGACACGAATTGGCAAAGGCGTCCGCGAATGCAGATCTACGCGCACACTCACACGTGCTGTGGGCGCGGAAGAACAAAGTGCAGGTTCAGAGGACCATGCACAGTCTTCGTCTTTGCCAACATCAGGCTACATTCAATACCACAAAGCAGTATTAATAAAAGCAAAATACAACTTAGCCTAAGATAGCAATCCTGATCATAAACGCGGTGTATAACTGTACACCACTTTCTCACTCATTTACATGCATAAGCGGTCAATGCTTCGGCGGATTTATGGCAACTCCCAACAATAGCACGGCTTTACCCGCTCCTTTATTTCACTTCTTGAATATGCCATAATTTTTGTGCAATGTTTTATTTTTCATAAAATACACATGTGGCTGGTGTGGCTGTGACACAACACATCATATTTAGCACGCTGTCAAGAAAAAAAAAATCCGTTGCAACCTTTTAAAAGTTAACGTGTTTCTAACAAAGAAAATATTCCAGTTTTATTAGAAACTTCAAGTATTCGTACATGCGCGAAAAATCACGTGCCTCAAAGGCCACAAACTGCATGGCCTTTGCCATGCGTAACCTTTTAGCGACGTATAGAATAAGCAGTGGCTACGACAGTCATACTAACATGCCCTTATATCAGGCTAGTTGCACTGTATTCTACGATTAGAGCAACCACGTGCAATCATTATATATAAGGTTGCGGTAGCTCATGTGTGTGTTCTTTTGTTATGAAAGCCGCAACCATATTTTCCCTGCAAGATCCAATATCTGTTGAGCCTATCAAAAGCAGCCCCGAAGTGAACGCCGCAAAGTATGAGATAAGAGCTATAAGCACGGATGCCGATAAAATTAGGCTAAAACCAGAAGTTCTGAATAACGTAAAATAGGACCATTTTGCGCTTTACAGCAGTAGCGCAAATCCAAAAACTAACATGGTAATGTGTATGAAAGGGATATGGAGTGCTGTAGCAGTGTGGTTTTCTGGGCCAGTTGCTACATGACGACAAAGTGAAGGCTTCCAGCATGTTAACACATGAGCACAAACACAGAAGTGCAGATGACACAAGCCGGACGTTCTAGTGAGATTTACTGAAAGAAGCGCATGCGTCTACATCGCAGTCACCATCTAACTGGCCCGGAAGAGAACTCACCCTCGCACCACCCACAGCGGTGGCACTCTGACCTGAAGGTGACAGGAGCGAATCTTGGCCGTGGCAGCCACATTTCTGATGGGGCGAAAATGCATGAGGCCTATGTGCTCAGACTTCAGTGCACGCTGAACAACCCCAGGCGGTTTATATTTCTTGAGCCCTCCACTACGGCATCTCTCATAATCATATCGTGGTTTTCAGACGTTAAACACGAGCCCTTATAATATGACGTATTCTTGCATTATAAAATGTGCGCATGCAGAGCAGAATTGGGTAGCGTTTTGTTATGGCAAAGGAGACGGGCTAGCAAGGGAAATATGAGCGATGCGTATTAGTTAGTTGGTTGCTGAATTGTGTGCCAGAAAACCTTTGGTACATCTCATAAATATAAACAAGTCGACAGTTTTAAATCTATAGGTTCTCTAATTATTGCAAATGTTAGGCCTGATTTGAGGAGAGGAGGAGGAAGGGAAGAACGCACGTCTAGTTTGCTACCCTGCACTGGGGGAAGGGGTGAGGGGATTAAAGGAGAAGAGAGAGAGAAGTGAAGGGCAACATGTGTGTAGGTGTGACCTTGTCCATTGCACGCTTATAAGCGGTCGTGTAGTCCGGTCATCTTTAGAAAACTTAGCAATGCCCGCGTCGCTTTGCTGGCCTGCGACGCGTACAGCCATGAACCAAGGATCTTCTCTTCGGAAAAAGGTCTACTGTCTAGTGTCGCTAATGTTTCGCGTAGCAAGTTGCGTTCGCTCGCAAAACGTTCACATGAACACAGTAGGTGTTTTATTGTCTCGTCCATGTCGCACGATTCACATCGGGAGCTATTCGCCATTCCTATACGAAAGGAGTACGCCTTCGTAAAAGCTACTCCTAACCACAGGCGGCAAAATAAAGTTGCATCCTGGAGGGAGAGGTCCGATAGAACTTGAATGATGAAGAAAAAGGAGTGGAGGGAGTTAACTCGTATGCTTTCATGACCGCTGCTGCTGATTCTTTGCATATACGTAGCGGTGTTCATGCCATTTTAGTATACTGCATTTCTAAGTTTAGCATGTTTCCTTAGCGTCTATCCACCTGTTCTCGTGTAAGAACGTGCTCCAACACTTGTTTCACTTTACAAGTAAAGCCAGGAATCACTAACTACAGCGTCGCGTCTTTTTTTAGACGTGAAACTGCTTGTGGCGGAGTTCAATCCGGTGGTGTGTGACGTTACCACCTTTACTGCGCACGTGCAACATCTGGTCCAAGCAATGCCAGAACGCACTGACGTGCTACTGCGTTCTGGCGTGTGTAAAAAAAACTGTAGGCCATCTCTCCGAAGTGAAGGCTGGTGGTATGCAAAGCTGCAGTGCTACGAACGGCATTGACCTGGTTGAAACGGGCGTCCACGAAGGTGCTGAAAGAATGGTTTGAAGTGTAAATTGATGTAGTGTTTACTCGAGTTACCGTCTGTCTGAAACGTCAAATTCATGGTATGTGGGTCCCGTTGAAGGCATTTGCACTCGACTTCCTTGGCTCGCGTCTTGCCGGTGTTATTCATGCACCGTCTGTATTCTCGTACGTGATCGTCGTTCTTGACTCGTACCCCGTCGGTGTCGCTTGTCGTCCAATGCCTGCGCTTGCGTTCAAATTCTCTGACTCGCGCCTCGTTGGTGTTTGCGTCGCCATTCGTAAATGAGATTGGCTTCGCTAACCCTCGCGATGCTGGCGACAACCGGAAAAGGTACGTGCACACTAGTGGGAAGCATGCCGCGACGGCGCCCCGCCCGTCATTGTGGTTGAAAACTTATCTAGTTACAGGACATTTTCTGCGGAGAAGTTCCGAGTAGTGGGAGATTCTTGGCTTGTGGTGGGAGGGCCCTTAGTCGAGGGATCCGCTTGGATGTCAGCGCGACTGCGTGGCAAGCAGCGGCGCGCTGTCCACATTGTCGGCGCCGCAAGATTCTCGTGGCGCGCGGAACGCACGCACTCACCTACTCGTGGTTTTTTCTCACCGAGCGATGGAGAGATGTGGCGTGGGTTAGATGATGCCCACTAGAGGAGTGTGCTCGAGCGTTGCGAGTGGTGGAGAGGGTGAGGCGACAGAAAGCTAACACGTGGCTAGCGCGTAGTAGGCGAGAGAGAGAGAGACTTCATCACGCACTGCTATGAGGGCGTCAGCTACTTGGCACCGCTCCAACACCTGCGGCGAGAGGAGTGATGCGGATGGAGGGAGAGCGTTACACAGGCTAGGCAAAAAGCTGCTTCGCATCTAAAAGCTAGATAAGATGCTGTGGCCTCTTTCTCTTTCACTCTTTCAGTGATCATTTCATGGCGTCGGGTAACGAGGCTCTGCTCACGCGCGATGAACACATGTAGCGTGCTTCAACTAAAGTCAGGGACGAGTAACAGCAACAGAAACGGCAGTAAGTTCACCGTGTGCTCCTTTTTCTAGGACGTTTTAACGTCGGACAAGACGCCTGTGATGAAAGAACTTTATGTCGACCCATGCGCTGCATCGCATGCTACTCAAAGTGTAAAAGTTTAAACAGATACCGTTTACAGGGGAGATATATTTACTTATTGGTTTTCTATACTATTAGCCTATTGGGCTGTTACACAGTGGGGCAGTTTACAATACAGAAACAGTAAATGCAAATAGCATAAGAATATACAAACAGCATAGCACAAACAGCACAATGTGATCTAAAAATTGAAAAAAAAAGGCATACACAGCGCGTAAAAATTATACAAAACAACAGCACTGAAGTTATACGTGATAAGTATTTAGATATTAAATATCCTGCGACTGAAGTTTTTTGTCGAAACTCTCGAGTGAAATCGCAGCATAATATATTTCTGCGTTTGGTTTATCGCAGTCTTCCATTGTTCTGAACAAGAAAGAATGATTGGAGATATGAACTCTGGATACGTAAGGTCTCACAACCTAAGCGTGCGAAGATTGAGGTGATACTCTACCTTGTGGCATCGAGTAGAGTCGGGGATTGATTTTTAGCATAACATGATACATTTGATTATAAAAAATTGGTCTGGCTATGTTTATGCGTGAAGATAAACCTGCAAGGGTTGCCTTAATAATCAATGCAGTGGTGGATTCAGTACTTCTGTACTTGGAAAAAATAACGTGCATCCAGACGCTGCACTTGCTCGATCCCATTTATTATAGTTAGTCGATACGGGTCCCACACTGCACTCGCGTACTCCTGGGTGGGTTGAACAACCATCGTCAAAGCCTTAAGTTTTATATCAGGAGATGCCTGTTTTAGTTTGCGTCGTAGCATTTCCAACTTTCGCTGAGCTGATTCCCAAATGCCAAGAACATGCTCACTCCATCTTGAGCTATGTGGAGTAGTAACATTTAAGTACTTCATCTTTATTTCTCATCGAATTTTCGTGACTGACGATTTTGTAGATGGCGCAATTTTTCTGCTGCTCGAGGCTAATCTGTAATATGGTGAAAATTAATATATATAGAAGAAAGAGCATATTAGCAAGGAGCGAGGCTTCCTATGTACCACGTTGACACTTCAGCCCTAAATAGAAACTGTTACATATGCAGAAAGAAATAGCAAACTTGAGATTCAAACAGATTCGAACTACAATCAACTTGTTAGTATTGGAGCTGGTAGTGCCATTAACACACGTTTTTTTATACCTGAAACATTATAATGCCCTCTCACCTGTTATTTTTTGCAAGCCCGAGTTGACGGATAAATGTAAGATTAGTCTCGTGCAGGACTTGCACGGTAGTGCATGAAAAGTGATGTTTCTCTTGACTTTGAAGTTAACAATAACTCAAGTGAGTCGCTTTTGGCGATGCAAACTACTGATGGCACAGACACTTTTGCATATTTATAGCTTCCCCCGTCCCCCCAATATTTGAAGTAAGGGGCCACAAAACTGCCATCCCTGACATTTTTTCTTTATCGATGCACTAGAAGTAGCGATTATTCTTGAGTGCTATGAGGCAAATGACCTGATCGCTCTTTTGTTCTGGTCTGTATTCGGGACATGCTTATCGCGATCACGTCGCAGCTACATGCACCGTTCTCATCTCCAGCACGCACCCTCACGCCTTTGGACTAAGTGTAAAAAATCAGCGCGATTCAGGGATTCTTCGAAATCCGTGTTTCCCGCCATTGAAGCACACTCGGAGAACTAGAGGCTTTGCGTTCAACACCTTTTGTTTGCAGTGCACAGACTATTCTGCGCAACCATATGTAGTCATTATCTGCGTCCTGAATACCTATAAAGACGTCTCCGAGCAGTCAACTCTTCTTTGTTCCACAAGTCTTGCAATAATAGCGAATGGAGAAGAGCTGTGTGATTGTTGCTTACAGAACTATGCAGTATCTCTAATTCCTAATGAAAATTCAAAGCAATGCTTAAAAAGACTTGTAAGCATAATACTACATCTCATCAGGATTCAAATTATATATTTAATTTCCGATTTACATATTCATGTTGCTAGCTGTGTCTACACGCATTCATTAGATGCTGAGAATGAGTGAACGGCATGCTAGAAGCTCACCATCTGTTAAGTCATTCTTCATTAAATAATTGTTTACCTGCAATGTAAGCATGCTACCGGACAATTCGTTCATACTGGTTGAACGCCTATGTGCACGTTTTTAGTAAGTGATCATGATAATCACTTATTTATTATTAAAAAGATCGGTTATAATGCCAGAGCTTCACAGAGTTTGTTTCACAGACATTCTGGCATCGACGTTATCGGTTGAGAGTGAGAAATGAACGCTGTGTTGAGTGAAAATTTGAGGTACCATGTGAATCGATGTTAAGAGAAACATGTGGATTGAAGGTGACAGCGGTATGTTTTTTTCAATTAGCGAGACATTAGGAAATGACGTCAAACATATTTACACACATAGGCACAGACATATCTTGAACAGCCACATATGCTTTGTATGACTAGTTATTTGCAGTTGAGTAACGATGCACGGGCAGTTCTTGTGCTTGCTAGTGCTACGTAGACCAAGATCCATGGCTGGTGCTTAAGTATACAATTGAAGTTTACCCTAAGTGACGCGTGTAACGCTAAAGTACAAATGTAAAGCTTGAAAATAAGATAACCAACTCTGCAAGCTCAATTCACGTTTCACCAAAAATACAGTGGCATACGGTGTTTTTAGAAAGCAGTTCCGGCACCTGGTGTTGCTCTGTGGTATTTATGTATTTATGTGATTTCCATACACGGATACACAAGGGCACAGAGAAAAGAGGGAGAGAGCAAGCTGGCAACTGCCACCTGGAGTGGCACAACGCCTGGTCACTCTTCCGAAGGAGAGAAGAAACAGAGGAAACAAAGATTAGAGGGAAGAATGAGGAAAAAATAAGGAATGAAAAAACATTACGAAGACATATACTTCATTGCCATGCAGCATTCTAGGGTTTAATTTTTGCCGGAATCCCGATATTTATCATTTGTAGTCACGGTCAGTGCTGACGAAGTCAGCTCTTCTTTGCACTTTCAAAGCATTTTAATTACCAACGTATGTTCTGGCTGTTTCAGGGAGGATATAAACTATCACTGACGAGTGGCGCACAACTGCATAGCGGGGTCCATGGTATACGGGTATATATGTACCACATGTGTGTCAATTCAAAGGGTCTGATGATGTACGTCGTGGTATTTTCGCGTTATTCATGTCAACACCAACTAGACATACTTATCGAACTCGTTTACCCTTCCGCACAAATTTTTTTGTAGCCAAAGTTAAAAAACGTGATCGAGATGTGAGCAGCAATAGATAGTTATGGCGATAGAAACGTTCGAAATGGCTGCAGTTCGCTAAGAAATTTTTTGCATCTATCAATGAAAATGTTTGGTTTCATGGTTATTCAATCCAGGTCCGGAGCACTTTTCTAGAGCAACACTCACGCTCGAAATTGCGTCCAAAAAGATAACTTTATATGAACGTTATGTGGGCCAATGAGTGTCGTTAAAAGGGTACTGACGCGAAAACTTTCAGTTGTCTTTGTTTGTGTCATATGAAAGGTCAATCCCTCAAGTTAACGGAAAATGCACTGCTAAGCGTGAAAGCAACGTGAAAAAGCAATTACAATGCGTTTTGAAATGCTAGCTTTGGTTCAGACAGTATCTTGGTTTAAAACATAGCTTCTTGTCACGGGTCCGTGAACAATATTGTAAAAATTCCGCCGCCGTTTCGCACCTGTGGCTTCATTGATAACGAACAGGAAGTCATCTGGAGGTTTTGTCTCCTGAATTCGTTGCAGCGAGCCAGACTGTTGCGTGAAGTCTGAAAAATTGGTAGTGGAACCTGACATCACGCTATAGTTTTGGTGTCTGAAGGTGAGCCGTTAAAGATTGACTTTAATTTTAAAATAATATATTTCTTCAGCATTCGCTGAGCTTGACACTTTCTCGGGACCATCTCAGTTAAAGGAGGTTTGTGTGGTAGAGAAAATTGACCTTCAAAAAACGGTGTCGGTGCCCTTTTCTGTTAAGGTCTGGGAACTAAGTTGTATGACTCTTTGGTACTTCGAACATGACGCGCAGGACTACACCTTTCCCGTCCAAAAGCTTAACGCACTCACTCTATGTAAACACATAGACACCGATAAAAAAAGACAAGATAATCATAAACCTAATTCGCCCTTCGCCAAGAGTCTTCTTCCTATAGGAGAACATCACGGCAACTCTATAAAAAATATGGCGTAGTGGGACCTTCACAACAGAATTCGTAGTAGGCATTATAATATACTTTTAAAATGGTCAATTTACAATCGCACAGATGTTTTGTTCCATGGTATGGTTTTCGTGTCTACTAAGAAGTGTAGTAAAGCTAGCGAATTTAAAAATGATTCGAAAGGACGCCAATCAGGCTGGTGAGTTGTACTCTAGAAGACAAAGCTCAAGTGTCCTCTGTCACGCACTGGTCCCGTTAATTAGGGAGGCGATCACAGGGCTAATTCCAAGGGCCAAAGTATCGGCCCCCCGAGCCGCACCACGAAAGCGTGGACAATTTAGAAGTGGTCCTTTTCGGCGCGCCAGCGGACGCTGGCTGTGGCCCAAAGAACAAGTCAGAGCCGAGAGTTGATAAACAAAACTATATTCTCAATGCAAATCGAAAACAATACACAAGAATGCACACTCCACAAGTTGCATACAATTGGTCACCAAACAAACAACGTACTACACAGTACAATCAGCCACACTCGAAACAACGGACACAGACGACAATACGCACTACAATGCAGTCGCATGCATTGAACAGCCAAGACACTTAAAGACTAAAGAGATAGAAAACCTATTCAGTCCAAAGTTCTTGGAACAAAAGTCTGAATGATACTCTTCCGAGAATCACTCACTCAAAGTCCAGCGTTGTTGCCGTTCCGCTGCCCCTCGAAGTTTCTCTTCCAGGGAACCTCGCCGAAGTTTCTCTTCCAGGAAACCTCGCGTCTTCAATTGGCCACTCTCCAAGCTTCAACCTTCCTTGTCGGAAACACGTCGGCTTCACACACGCAGCTGTTGCCACGCGTCTTCGCTCGATAGCGGTAGACACACGCTCTTGCCTGTAGCTCGAGCCTTCACCTCTCAGGTGGAAATTCTCTTCTTCTCCTGCTTTGTCCCCACGGACAAAACCTTCGCCGACTACACGGCGGAATCCCTACGCGCTCTGGCGCTAACTTCCGTCTTCTCCTGCTCTCTCGTCTCGGCTGCTCGAATAAATACCTTCCGCGCGAGATTCCAGAAGGTTCTCGTCATTTCGTCGGTGCGATACGCAGCGAAGGCCGGGGAGAGGACGAGACGGTTGGAATGCCCTCCGCGGCAGATGACTCAACTCGGTATGACCACGCCCCTTTCCTTCTAGAAAAATCGAGGGCTTGCTCGGCCGCCGTTGTGGGGTGAGGAGGTTCGTCGGTAAAGCCACGCTTCCGCGGGGAGAGGGAGCGTGCCCGGGGAGCTTGTTTTCTTTTTTCTTTTTCTTTTATCGTTGACCTCGCGGCGTCACTCCGGCGTTTCGTCGCGAGGAGTTGGCGGCGCGCTCTTTTTGAGCGCTCGTTCTGTGACATCCTCTAATTTCGCTGTCCTCAACCTTTTAGCACACGTCTTGAACTCCTTAAGAAGGCGATTTTGAGATAAATTTTCATAATAACTGGTATAGAAAATATTAGGAAGCTTTCGTATATCAGAAACAAACAAGGTATCTACTCGCAACGGGCACTTGCCTAGAATAAAAGCAAAAGTCATGTATTTGTCGGAGCAATACCTTAGTTTAAACATAAAATGCTTTCACGTCACGTTCTCGGCAACCTTCAAAAAAGACTGTTGTTTGGAACAAATGATTAACTATTTAGAGCCCTTGGAACTCTATTGTGAGAATGCATGAAGCCATCCCATGGGCCTCACACTTTATGAGGCCGTGTTGACAAAAGTTACACCATGAACGAGTTGACAACAATGAATGTGTTGACGTAGATACCCTACAGTGATGTAAGGCATATAGTTCCGGATGTTCCAAACATCATCGATGAATTAGCCAAACCCACCATTCGATCCTCAAACAGCAAAAAATTAGGAAAAGGCGGACTCTGCTCAGAGCACTTTTTTACGGAACCGCATTACAATTGCTAGCTACTGCCAAACAATATACAAAAAATTGCTTTCGAGTTCTGAACAGTTTGCTCACAGTATGCCTGGAAATGTTTCTTAGTGTGCGCGAAGATTAGCCATTTCAAATATCGACGTTAGAATTGAAGATGTAGGGCACCATGCACTCGAAGGACATCTTTTGACACTGAGATGTTTCTGCTCTTTTCAATGCTAGCAATACGCGTGTTTCAC